AAAAAAAAAACAGAAAAGTAACATACAAAATCTCTGATACAACTGGCAGGTGTGTATTCGTATCCGGCGAACAAAGCTGGGTTATAAAGAAGTCCGTTTGCAGCCATCACACCTATGAAACGGTATATTAGACAATATCGTCCGTGACTATGGAAAAGGAATTCATCCACCACGACTAGAGGATGGTGAGTCTGCGTTGCTCGGTATAAACACGGTAACAAGCTCGAAAACCATAGACGTTTCTCAAGCGCTATGTTATACCCCCTCCCTTTCACAATGGCTTTTCTGGGTAGGGCGGAGAAACGCCAAACTCGCGGCGATATGCTAGGCCTAATGGGTTCAAAATGGAGCCAGGCGAACAAGAAAAGCCGCGATGTCAGAAGAAAGATCAACTGAGAAGACTTCATCATTTCTGGCACGCTTCACTATTACTTTAGCCTCCAGGAAGGAGATGAAATCAAATTAGAAAATTGGGAATCTTATGCTGAGGCCATGCAAACGCAAAATAGCCGCCATGTTGAAAAGAGCAAGCCAAAACTGAATGGAAAGCTCATATACCAACCATCAACTCCTGTTGTCTCAGCAATTTCCAAAGCCTGCGATCTTTGCGTAACATCTCCATTGGCTATTACAGGCACTGACACAGATTCCTAGTAAATGCATCTTTTTCGAGACAACCGAAAACAGAACCGGCTATACCTTTACTATGCGGATGGCGTCATAATCAACTGGTTCACAACGCATTGAAGGTGTACGGCCATGTACGGTGAGATGAGACACACCGGCTTTTTCTGCCTGCACACACAGATGAAAAGAACATTACATGAAAACCATTCCTACCTTTCTGCATAGATCTATAGTCCTTTCCAGAGGATACTGTACGCGTATTTTCAAAGAGATCTGGAAGATCATCATCACAAGTTTTGCACATTCTTGATGAAAAAAAAAGAAGAAAAATTACCGTAAAGTCTGGGTCGTGTATCCGAGCTCTGCATTGCCTTACCATGTCAGCCAGGAGCTCTGGTCGATTCAAAAGAAAACTTCCAAATCCTTTTGCTCTAACATCACTCTTCGGACAACCACAGTTGAGATCAACACCTGTTGCGTACCTGCATTACGTACTTGAGTCTCCTATCAAGTTCTAGCTTCTTATATCTAACTCACTTGTACACTAACTCAGCAGCGGAACCGAAAACGAAAGGATCATCAGACGCGAACTGAACTATCAAAGGTCGATCATCTGGAAGAATACTGATGTTCATTGCTTTGAGTCTAGAAACAAAGATACCGGGTGTGGTCGAAAACTCGCTAGATCTGCAATGTTCGGATTCCAGAAAATTCTTCGCATAAATCATAGGCGTATAACAGCAATCGACATCATAAAGTCGAACAAGCTTACGAAAAGCAAGCCTAAAAAGTGGATACTGACAGACTGAGTCCTTATTTCACTACAAGATGCCATGCTTTTGTAATTCTGACGGATTCAATGATTATTATTGTATTTTTGCTTTGCCGACAACATTTGCGCGTAACAAAATGCCATTGCGTCCCAGTGCCATTTCTTGGCCGCAAATTTTTTCTTTTATGTGCAGACATTGACTTTATTGCATAACCTCTATACCTCTATACTAATCGTCAAACCTCTTCAATTATGTATGTATACCACAGGCTCGGAAGGATGTTTTAGAAACCACTTACTTGGAATAGCGAACCATCGGAGCCAGATAAAACTTCGTCTTCCGACGATCCAAAGGTTGATCTTCTTTTGTCATGATACCTGAATTCACTCAATCACTAC